CCCGGAGATGTCATCCATATAATCAAATCAACATGGCCTAATAAACACTTCTGAACTTTACAATGCCAGTAAATAAGTCACGCCTGTTTCGAGTGGAACATTTAGTTCGAACGCGCCGCTCCGCGCCTAACCTCATTTGCATATATGGGAAAATTAACCTGCTCATTTGCATATATGGGAAAATACCGTGCTCCCGCTAGCGCACTGTGACTTATGGCCTTTGACACCACAAATCATGACGTATAGTCACATGCAACCATTTGCAATGGGAACAACGTTGCTACAGGGTAGCGAACAGAGTCTTGCGAGAATTGGTTGAGTCTTTAGCACCTCTAAGCCGCGAGAATGCAGAAATTACGAAGAAAACTGGCTGGTCTCTCTTCGGATGTGTATTAAAGAGCCAACGTAAGTAACGTTTACTTCTTGATATTTCAGTATGACTACAAGTTTTTCAGGAGCAAACTCTGGTGGTTTTCAAACCACAAATTATGTGTCTCTTAGAGCTGGAAAACTGGCGTTAGCCTGACACTTTCTTATTAGCAATATGGGGCGTCAAATGTTTAGATGCATGTTACACCATATTTACACGTTCGACTCATTAGCATCGGCAGTGTGTTCACACGCGTTACATAACTGTTGTTTGGGTTGCATGTATTTCCATACCTGTTCAAAAACTCCACTGCACTTGTTTCCTCAATTTTCCTCGTTTTGGGCCGACATAAGCATGGGACAGATCGGTTGCATTGGTGCATATAAAAGGAAAATAGCCCCCCTCCCCAAGTAGTATCTGAGTGAGTGACTCATGTACTAGTATATAATTTTGTGAATGTTTTCTTAACTTAGACTAGTTAAAGGGAACCCTGTACTGCTGTTGCCAATATTAACGAGGGAGACTTCAGTTTGCAAAACGTGAGTAAATGCCAATTTTACACATGTAAAATTATAATATATATATAGTAGTTCTTTACAGTGTGCATCATACAGCAATAGTCAGTACAGTTGAGCAAAACAATTGTCCATGCTTTGTTTTGGTACTGCTGCATGAAAAGATCTAACTATAAATTCTACCTGTCAACTGTTTACATTTGTAACCATACAGTGCTATTGTGTTCACAGAAATGCCACAAGTACATGTATATAATACTTAGTAATGCTAAACATTGTTTCTACTCCGTAATTTGTTAACATCATTTCTAGATAACTACATTTGTACATTTCTCCTTCTTTTCTTTGGTGTAGGCACACCATCCTGTCTCCCTGGATGCACCTGTAGCAGATGGGTTTCCAGTGTGGACTTGAGCCGTCTCACCGCATCCGGGATGGAGCTGGTTGATCGGTTGATCCGATTGAAAACGGCATGGACCTGTTCCACCCCTTGCTCCCCATGAAAACCCAACCCAACCCCCCAACACCTTATCCAGGGTATGACATGTTCTTCCAAGAGGTGCATCTTGACGGATACAGACGAGGTAGGGAACAGCTCTCTGTACTTGGCCAGGAAGTGCTTGATACTGCAGTCTGTAACATAAAAAGAATGGTATTGATTGATTATGTATTGGTTTACTATGAAAAACATTATGATGTCAATTGCATATCCAAAATAACTTTAATGTTGGTAGTAGATCAAAATGGGTTGATGACTAAGAACCCACCTAGATTGGATATCTCCTCATTAGTCATGCTGTTTGTGTGGGAGTACCCTTTATGGCACTTTGCAAATGCCTTGAAGATTGTCTCATACTTCACCCTGATGTCATTAGACCTT